TTTCTGCTTGACTCAGCCTGATTCTCTTCCGATAACTTCCACCGCATACGGAGCTGCACCATTTAAAGCATTCTTTTCCTGTGTGGTATTTGCAAAGTAGCAGATCCTGCCAGAAGCTCACAGAGTGCATTTTTGAACTCTCTATTTTGCTTTAATACATGTTACTACACACGGAGCTCAATTTCCTCCTGTGACAGCAAAGAACACTTTTTGCAACGAGATACATCAGCCACAAAAATCAGTGGGGGATGGGATGACCTAACAGGAAAGGGAAATTTTTGTTTTTAAGGCTGCACAAGTGAATACACCAAAATATGTGAGTTGGTTAATCTGAAGAAATGCAGTTGGTGGTATTTACATCTGTCGGTGAGCCTCAAAGTGTGATCCAGAAAGCCCTGGGAGTCCTTGGAACCTGTCAGAGTTCCAGAAGGTCAAACTTACTTTCATAATAATACTAAGACTTTATTTCCTTTTCCACTCTAGAGGCTACCTGATATGCGATGAATCATCACTCCAAAAGCTAAGAGCATGTGTGCTTGTACCGTTTGGTGTTTATTAAACTTTCCAGATTTAATTTCTGATCTGGAAACTAGCAATAGGAATAAGCCACAAAAACAAAAAGTCTTTAGTTTAGGGTCCTCGATAACAGGAATCTTGAGACCAAAAAGTGAGAACATCTGATTCTCTAGAACACGATTATCGAGTCCCCTAGACTCCAGCCATAGTATTTACCTCTCATCATGACTCCAGAGAGAACACCTCTGTCCTCTTGGCAATTGCTTTGTACATTCAGTGCTGTAGCAGAAGAAAAGGAAAGAGAAAGAAAAGCAGTAAAGGCCTCAGAGAAGTCTACCTGTTCAGAACAGCTTTCTGTCCCTTCCAAGGCTTAGACACCTGAACTGTGTTAATCTGTAAATCACTGTTTCTGAAAAATTTCCTTGGCATAAATCACTTAGGCACCTCAAATCCTCTTTGCAATGTTGAGCATGAACAGATAATAATTGTTCTGGAATTGGGTAGAAAATGTCTTCTCTGAGAGGAATATTTCTCTTGGAGAAATGTATTTCTCTTGGAGAAATGTTTTTCTCTAAGAGGTCCCACTAGGCTGAATTCTAAGAATGACCCCCAATGGCCCTTGCCTTTGTATAATCCCCACGCCTTTGAATGTGGGGTGGAACCCGTGAATCTGATAAGATAATGCACCTGTGATACATTATACAGCAACATGAGATGATCCAGGTGGGCCCAATGTAATCTCAAGAGCCCTTTAAAAGCGGAGAATTTTTTTCCTGCTGGTAGCAGAAGAGAAAGAGCTATTTGAAGAGTGAGAAAGATTCGATGTTCTACTGCTGGAGGGGGCTCCGTGCCAAGCATGTGGGCTCCTTGTAGCGGCTGAGACCGACTCTTGGTTGACAGCCAGCAAGGATTGAGGATTTCAGTCCGTCAACCACAAGTAACTGAATTCTGCTAACAACCTAAAAGAGCTTGGAAGTAGATTCTTCCTTGGAGCGTCCAGGTAAGAGTCCATTCTGTCCAACACCTTAATTTCTCTCTGTGAAACCCTCAGTGAAACTTGGGAACGCACCCAAGCCCACCTGGACTTCTGATCTTTAGAACCACGAGCTGAATTGTTGTTGTCATTGAAAAGAGTACTAAATTAAAAACAAAAATGTGGGGCGCCTGGGTGGCGCAGTCGGTTAAGCGTCCGACTTCAGCCAGGTCACGATCTCGCGGTCCATGAGTTCGAGCCCCGCGTCAGGCTCTGGGCTGATGGCTCAGAGCCTGGAGCCTGTTTCCGATTCTGTGTCTCCCTCTCTCTCTGCCCCTCCCCCGTTCATGCTCTGTCTCTCTCTGTCCCAAAAATAAATAAACGTTGAAAAAAAAAATTTAAAAAAAAAAAATAAAAAAAAATAAAATAAAATAAAAACAAAAATGTAATATTATTACATTTTTATGACATCTTATTACATTAAACTGTAAGGTTTGTGGTAATTTGTTAAGCCACAAGAGGAAACGAATGCAGAGGAAAACAGAATATATTTTGAAATTGAGGTACCAGTCACATAAGATTGTCCATTAACCGTATTTGTGTGAACAGCTCAGTGGCATTAGTACATTCACAGTGTTGTGTAACCATCATCGCACCGAGTTGTAAGACATTTCCCCGCTCCAGAATGAAACTTGTAGCCATTAAGCAATTGCTCCCCCTTCCCTTCCCCCTCCCCTGGCAAACACTTATGTGTTTTCTGTTTCTATAGAATTACCTATTCTGGATGTTTCATACAAAGAGAATCCTACAATATGCGACCTTTTGTATCTGGCTTCTTTCATTTAGCGTAATATTTTGAAGGTTCGTCGACGTGGTACCTGTTTTCCACACAGCGGCACCGCTTTCTCAACATCCTTGCCAACACTTGCTTTCTTTTTCTTTTTTTGGAAATACCTCACCTAAGGGGTGTGGAGTGGTAGCCCCATATGGTTTTCGTTTGCGTTTTCCTGATGACTAATGCTCAACACGAGCAGCTTTTCACGCATTTGTTAGCCATTTGTATATACCTGTTTTGGAGAAATGTCCATTCAAGCCCTTCAGGTCTTTTGCCCACTTTCGATTGGATAGTTTGTCTTTTTGTTGTTGGGTTGTAAGAACTCTTTATATATTCTGTATATTGGGCTCTTGTCAGGTATATGATCTACAAGTCTTTTTGCCTATGCTGTAGGTGTAAATAAACTGGTGAGGGACATTTTTTCTCTGTTAATATGTAAAAGCACGTGAGGACATGCGTTTTTCAAAAAGAATTATACTCCATGCTTTTGAATCTTGCTTTTCTCAGGAATAATTTGTAGAAAACACTCCACTGTGGTAAGGTTAAGCTCTAATTCTCTCTAATGCCCCATTGTGTGGGTGCACTATAATTTATTCAACCATTCCCTATTTATGACCACTGACTCTTTTTCTAGTTTTTTGTTCATTGTTAACAATGCTGTAATTAACATCCATGTACAATATATGTCTATGTATTGTGTGTTTCATTTTTCCGGGATTTATTTCCAGGAGTGGGAGAGCTGGGTCAAAGAGTATACGCATTTTTATTTTAATAGGCATTGTTCACTTGTTTTGCATAAACCAGCGACATGTGAGCATCTTCCTTTTGCACCGCATCGTTGCCAACAATAGATGTAGTCAAGTTAAAAAAATTTTTTTTTCTAGTCTGATAGTTGGAAAATAAGGTAACGATTTTGTCTCTTTCAGGGGATATTTGGCAAAGTCTGGAGATATTTTTGATTGTCCTGTTAATCATGGTGTCGGGGGGAGGTGGGGGACTAGGTGTGCTAGCTTCTAGTGGGCAGAGCCAGGGATTCTGCTAAACATCCTCTAATACTCAAAGCAACCCCCACAACAAATGGTCATCCAGCCTAGAATGCCAACAGTGCCACAGGTAAGAAACCCTGGTATAAAGAGATACTTCCTTTTATCTTCAGTTTGAAAATCTTTATGGGTGAGTTTGAACATCTTTCCATATATTTGTAAGCTATTTGGATTTACTTT